TATATGATACATGAATATTTTTGTTAGATAATTGATAAAATTAATATCAATTTTTAGTTTTATTATATGTATTAATGATAAAAAATACAATAAATATATTCTTATTATCTGCCTTAAAAGTAAAGAATAAAAAAATCCATCGTATTTTTGTAATTTTAATATGTAAATTGATTAAAAAAATATATAATTTGTACTAAAAAAGACCTTTATGTATATATATACACGTGGAATGGGCTTCTTTCAAAGAGAGGTAATGTAGTCTAAGGTGGTTGGTTGAACCAGCTGCCTAAAATTAGGCTACGAGACAAAGGGGGTGTTTGGATGAAAGTTGAGTAAATGTGTAAATAAGTATTTTAATTTTGAATTTTTTTTATTTAAGAATATTAATTTAAATAAGGATGTCAACTTTCAATTTTTTTTAAATAAGGATGTTAACTTTCAACTTTTTCTATTTAAGGATGTTAACTTTTAACTTTTAACTTTTTCTATTTAAGGATTAATTGAATAGTGATGCTGACATGGTTAATATATTTTTTTAAGTTAAATATCTGAATTGGTCCCTCAACTTTTATTTTTGAACCCATTCATTCTTAAACTTCAGAAAGTACCAAAAACATCCTTTAACTTCAATTTTCAATTTTATCTTTCCGTTAGTTAAATGTTGATGTAGCTAATTTTTTCATTAAGTGATTGAATATTTTACATTTTCAATATTAGATGGAAAATCCATCATGTAAAAGATGAATATGTGGATTTTTTAAATTTTAAATAATTTACAAACTACTTTAATTCTTAATTTTACTTTATTTATATTAAAAATTAAAACAATTAATATATTTTCCCATTTAATTAGAACCCACCTACCATTTAATAAAATTAAATAAAATTTAATTAATTCTTCCATGAATTAGGAAATAATTTTATTAATTGAAAATTGAAGATGAAGGATGTTTTTGGTACTTTCTGAAGTTCAAGGATGAATTAGTTAAAAATAAAAAATTTGAGGGACCAATTCAACTATTTAACCTAAAAAATATGTTAATCATGTCAACATCACTATTCAATTAATCCTTAAATAGAAAATATTGAAAGTTGACATCTTTAAATAGAAAAAATTAAAAGTTGATGTTTTTAAATAGAAAAAATTGAAAGTTGACATATTTATTTAGAAAAAATTAAAAATTGATATCTTTATTTAAAAACTAATAAAATTAATATTCTTAAATAAAAAAAAAAGTAAAATTGAAATCTTTATTTGCACCTTTACTCATGAAAGTTTGGATGGAAGTTTGGCTAACAGTTATTAATTACTGGATATAATTGAATAAGTTAAATATGTTTAATTTTAAATAATAATTATTAATCATTCAATATTAATGAACAACTATCATTTATTTTAAAAAAAAGTTAATCGAAAAAGCACACAAAGCAACAATACAAAAAGGGGAAAGCAAATGGGAATACGCTTGCGTGTTAACAAGAAGTGATTTCTAACTTGTGACGAAGGACACCTTTTTTTTTTTTTTTTTTCCGTAAGTGTATATAAAAAAATTATATAAATTAATATTACTTTAATAATATTATTATGTAGATAAATTTAATTAAATAAATAATAAATTAAAATTTAATTTTTATTTTTTAATATAAATTTATAATAAAAAAATATTTATTATAGTTTTTGACATGTATATAGAAAAACCCTAACAAGAAATGAGACAAACACGACTCTTGTCTCATGTTTCTGTTAATAGAAAGAAGTAGCACCTCATCCATTTGTGTTCTAACATTAAAAAATAAATAAATTAATTAATTAAGAGACAATTTTTTAAAATAAATTTTTAATAGTAGTTTATACATCACATGTAAAAGTTATTGATTTCAAACTTGTGAGATTCATGTTATTTTCTTTTATTCTTATTTTGGCTAGACCAAGTGGGGTGTGGAAAGGAGAAGACCTAATTTTTATTTATTTATTATTATTATTTTTTATGGGGAGACCCATACGTACCTAAACAAATTATGCTTATACCAATAAAAATTAACTAAATTTGTATCTACTAATTTAAAAACTATAATTTAAAGTCAAAATTAAAAGTTCAAACCTCTAAAACACCAACAAATAACTCTCCATATGTAAAAAATAAATAAATGACACAGCGCAAGTGGCGGCCACCAGACAAACACCTAATGTTATCAGGAACCAAAGATTACTGACATGAAGATATAATCACCATTATCCAACTTGTATCTTGCAGTTCTACATCAACCATCCAAAGAATTGTTGCCACAAGTTTAAACATAAATTATAATCGGATACCATAAGAAGACTCTGGCTTTTCTTTCGTTTCTCTTTCTCTAAACTGTGCATAACATGGTTATGGAGGAAAATGAGGAGTAAAAAACAGATAAAATTTTAACACTTAAAGCATTGTTTCTGCTCAGGAGTTTCCAGCAGCCGTCCAAGGGTGAGAGCTTGAGTCCATGTTTATGATGTCCATGTTGAGATAATTTTATTGCTGTGATGCATTTAAGGACTGTTTAGGCTTTTGAGATCCTCTTCCTTGGCATACCAGTTTGGTATTATCTTTGAAACATGCGGATAAAGATCCTTGTATGAATTTCGGATAGTGCCTTCTGCTACTCCAGTAGCAATTGAAATATCTGCATTCAACCAAACCCCTTTTTCTATCAAATTCATGTATAATGTATTGGAAGAAATGTCTAGCTACTAAAATGCGACATGAAAATGCAAGTCTAGAAGTAATTATATGAATGGGAACAACCACCAGAAATATTACTGCCTAAAGTTTACCCAAGGAACCATTTTACTTGACATATAATATAAAAATATCAAACCTCGAAGAAGCTTCTTATTGTCAGAAAGCTGAGTTATAATATAAATAACAGCTGCTGCAATTGATATGGGGCTTCGCCTGCACAATCACAAAATTGCTTAGTACATACCAACATAAGAAGGATAAAGAAAGGTTAAGAGTCAAAAGTCAAAACACTTGCCTACCTTATATCAAACTCCTCTGACTTCTGAACTGCTTCTTGGGCAGCTTTAATTGCTTGATTAGTCATACCAAGATTGGAACAAAAGCGTCTCTAATGATTAAGAAGTAAACACCACCAATTACAGACGATAGATACCACACAAGATAACAGATATTAAACTTTTCACGTATAAAACAAGAACTAAGACAGCAGCAACTTGAAATCATTGGCAAAAAAAGTTAACATAAAAGAAAATGAAGCTCACCATGAAGTCACCAGCATGTATCGTACCCATCTCCACAGACTGACCAGTCTCTAATCCCAATTGTTTAACAATATATTCTTTTGCTCGGCCAATTTCTTTCTTTGTGGCTCCATTGGCAACAGAGCATATTTCTATTTAAAACCCACAAGTTCAGGCAGCTCACATACGAAGGGAAAGATAAATCAGGAAGTATCAATATGCTAAAAGGAAGCACAGATTATACCCTTAACAGTGCGTGGTTTGTCCTCTTGCCTACACGCAATGTAAAGGCAAGCAGCTAACAAAGCATCCTGATTTCTTCCTCTACTAGATTTTTGATCTTCTACCTTCTTATATATCTCATTGGCCCGGTCCTTTAAATCAATGAAAAGGCAACATTAATGAAACTCTTGTGGAAAATGAAATAAGAGATGCAGATAACCTTGCAATCTACGTTTCTTTTCAAGGGCAGAGATGCAAAACATGAACAATAACCCTCATTGTCCACTTAAAAGCAGATAATTACAAGCAGTAGACACATATTAGAGCATGAGTTGACAATCAAATAGGACAAATGGCCTGCACGCCACTCATTCATTAACCTCAATAACAACATTTGGGTCAATCTCACACTTGTTAAAAAGCCAAACTAGCACATGATGGTGCTCAGCTCTTTTAAGGTTGCAAACAAAGCTCGACAGCCATGAGCCATCCATGAACAAGGCTAGTTAGTTGAGCCCATTAAAGCTTCAGAAACAAAGCCCACCAACTGCCCAAATAATAGTTCATAATAAGCTAGATTCCAACCTCAATCTCATTTTCACGTACATGTGACTCCATCCATGTGTTTTATTGGAAACCTTACACCAAAACATTTAAAGGTAGTTTCTGGTTTAACTTGGGATGTTGCACAACTTTAACCTCTCAAACTCAAATAAGAAGCCAGAAGTGAACTCATTAACAAACAACCTCAAAGCCATTGAAAGCCAGAAGACATTTAACTAAATGTGCTGGTAGTCAGTTTTTTAAGATAAATTTGGACTAAGCTTGGGGACAGCTCGAAATAGGCTTGTGAAGGAAAAAATAAACCAGCTAAGCTCAAAGCTAGGAGCATACTGCAGCCAAAAACAATACCACTCCAAGCACAAGGATGGAGTTGCATAACTTAGCTTAGCTCATTTACAATACTAGCCACAATATTACACCTTGAGAGTGGGAATCAGCTGTTAGGTGCAAAATTATGTTATGTTGTCAACTTCACTAAATGAATTCTGCAAGAGTTGCAGCTGATCTAAGTTATTACAACTGAATTGTACTTTAAATACTCATGACCCAAGCAAAGAAGTGATAATATGTTACATCACCATGCTTTTGCATGCAGAGCGAGTAATTTAGAGTGGCATTCTTTCACCTTTTCCCCAATATTCTCCCGGATAATGTTTAATATGCCAGTTAGACACAATTATTTTGTGATTTCAATTCAATGGCACAGCACACGGCACACAGCACACAGCTCTAAGACTTATCATTTACCAGACAATATAAATTTCCTTGTATATAAATAATACAAAATAGTTTAAAACGAAGGCATTTACTAAAGGATTTAGTCATTCCTCTCTGAATCAGCAGAACATTATAATCCAAACACGCTATCTATTGTCATTTTCCATCTTATATGGTAGAACTCTAGAACTCTATAAATAGAGTATACAAGGCCCAACAATAATCTACTTTCAAGAAACATACAAATATTTTGCCATTTGATACTGGTTACTTTGCTTTGCCAATTCATCTGTATAAGTTCACATTAACACAGCATATATATCAGAGTATAGAGTGTGTGGCATACCTTGATTGTTGCAACAAGGCCCAACCTGAAACACAACTTTGAAAATTAGTTATGTTCTGCAGTTGTATGTTTCTTCATCAGCTATAGAATATCATGCCAAGGTTAAAAAAAAAAAAATGGTCATTTGATCATTATTACAATAATTTCTAAATCCACATCACTGTCAAAACAAGTACCGATGAAACAATCATTTTAAAAAAGGAGTCAAATTGATCAATAGAAACATATACTACAAAAGAAAAAAACAATAAAAAAGGCAACCTCATTACTAAGTGGGCTCAATTAAGTAAGATTCAAGAGAAGACAGCCCAGCTCATGCTATTCGTGATATATTTAGTCTAATCCAGGAAACATATTCTATACAGAGGGAACATCCTTTCCAATCATTAGCAATTATTTTGAGAAACCAAGTTCTGGAACCGCAAAAGTTCCTAGAATGGGCTCTTAAAGACTCAAACTTTGCCCCAATTTCCTCCAGCACAGACATCTAAACTTGCCAACAAATTACTAGCTTTTCCCCAAAAACATATATTGTTCACACATGATCATAACATGCATATACTAAATTCAATATGAATTGCAATGCAACAGAAAACTCAAGAACGCCAGAAATGTCCATAAATTCAGTCATTGAGATCTCATATACTTTTCCACAAACCATGCCAAACCCAACAAACAATAAAGCTGACGCCTTTCATTGATTTTGGTCCAGAAATGATAGAAATGCAAAATTGGCCTAACTTGTAGACACTATTCTTTTAGCTCGATCAAGTAACAGTTTTGAACCCTAATTTCACAATCTCCCAATTTAAGATCCAAGATTAGTAACCCTAGTATCAAGTTGAACCCTTCATTTCTGATGCTTCCTTCAAATCCAATCAATCTCCAAAATCAAATTCCACTCCGAAGCAGATTTCTAGAAAGAAATGAAGATTACCTATCAGACATGGTAGCTATGGTCTTAAAAGCGACTATCAACCCCCGGTCAGGATTCGACCCGCGATTCTGCCACCGACCCAGCGATGACGAGAGGAACTCGCCGGAAGCCCCGTTAGGCTTGGCAATAACGGTGGAAAGCCCACCGTCGGCCAGAAGCGGGTTGGTGGGTCCACCAACACGGACGGGATCATTGTCCGCCGACTCGTTAGCGAATGTCCTCCACTCCGATGTCTCGTCGATCGAGTGCGACTCCAACACCAGCCCACACTCCGAGCAGACAGTGTCCCCCGCAGAGTGGTCAAACACCACTTCCGTGTGGCGCTTGCAATCGGAGCAGAAGGCGTCCGACATTCCCGGAACTAAACCGACCCTGCCCTTTTTCCGTTCAATGAAGCGGTGGAAGAGCAAAGGATTCAAAGTTGAAATCCAAGTCTCCGATTTTCTGGAAACTTCTGGAGCGATCGATTCTGCTGATTGATTTTTTCTCCTTTTTCTCTCCGATATCGTCCGAGAAGATGCTTTTGTTCAGAGCTGCAATGTAAAATGTGGTGCTAAATAGCTGCGTATTTATAAAAAGAAAAAAAATTGTAAGTCCTCGAACTTTTAAAGAAGAGTAATTAAGACGCTTAACTTGTTTTAGGTAAATATGTGCTTTATTCCAAAACTTCTAACCCTATATAAAAGCGTTTACATATTATTAGACATGTAAACTTCCTTTGATAATGTTTCTCAATATTTTTAATTTTTAATTTTTTAATTTTTTTTAAAATATATAAAATATAATTAATATATTTAATAAAATATTAATTAAAATGAATATTTAATTTATTAAATATATATCATATATTTTTAAGATATCAAAAATACTAAAAAATCAACAAATACAATTACATGTCAACACTTCCAAATTAAACCGTAACCTTATGATGGAGTTATTTATTTTTTTAATTGTAGGTTTAAAATTCAATCCTTAATTTATACATATGAAAAAATATATTTAAATTATTAATAATTACAAATACTAATAGTAATACTGAATGTAGAGCTCATTTTAAAATCTAACTTTTTCTTTGAGATCTCAGTTTTGATCTCCAAGATGTTTGATAACAAGCTTGATTGATTTATCAAGTTTTGAATCTAAATATCAAATAATTTAATCGTTCTACTTAAATATTTGCAAAATAACTCAAATTATGTGAACTCGAGGTTGAACATGATTAAATTAATTCGAGCTATGATAAAAGATTTTTTAAAAAAGAATCCAATAATCTCTCCATTTGTTCCTTGTCAACATGAAAAATATTTTTATGAAAGGGTAAAATTAACCCTGAACTTTTTAAATAATTGAAAATTGGCTTGTCTCTCAAAAAAAAAAAAAAAAAAAAAAAAAAAGAAAGAAAGAAAGAAAGAAAGAAAGAAAGAAAGAAGGAAAGAAAAAGAGCAAATTATGTTGGTCTCATCATTCCTAAGGTCGATCTAATTTTTTTTTTTTTACATTGGTTACATAATGAGAGGTAATTGTCTCATATTTCTTATCTCATCTTACACACATGTTAATGACTCAAACTTAAAACTTGTTACTTTTAACAAAAAAAAATTATCACAAAATTATGTAGATAGTTAACTAAGTCTGTCTAATTTAACCGGCTTAACTTTTCTGTGATTCTTCACTTGCACGGTGGCATTTTTAAATAATATCACCCCTTTAACTCGGCAAAAACTAATATTTAACCTTTTATCTTACAAAATTAATAAGTTTTAGCCTTTTACCTTATAATATGACATTTTTAGTCTTTTACCTTACAAATTTGGTAAATTTTAGCCTCTTACCTTATAAAATTGGTAGGTTTTAACCTTGCGCCTTATATTATAACATTTTAGCCCCTCACCTATACGAATTAAAGAAAATAACTCTCACCTAATATTAAGTTATAACATTCTGTTGGTTCTGTTAGTTGATTATTAACATCTGTTAGTATTTCGTTATAAAAAATATGAAATTTTAATTCAATTTTATTTATTTGTTCTATTAACGAAATGTTAATGGATGCTATCAGTCAGCTAACAAAACTAACAGTCAGCTAATAGAATTGACAAAATATTATAACTTAATGTTAAGTGAGAATTATTTTCTTCAATTAGTACAGATAAGGGGTTAAAAGTGTCATAATATAAAATAAGGGGTTAAAACCTACTATTTTATAAGGTGAGGGGGTTAAAACCTACTATTTTATAAGGTGAGGGGGTTAAAACTTTGTAAGGTAAAAGACTAAAAGTGTTATATTATAAGGTTATGAGGTAAAACATACAAATTTTATAAAGTGAGGGGCTAAATTTAGAGTTCGTACAATAATTCAAAAATCAAATTAAAGATTTAACCTTTTAAAAATGGATCAATTTGCATCTACTCTTAAAGCTGAGCAGCTAATTTGCCCTATTTTCCAAATATATTTTTACCTTAAAGAACTGATACGCTTATATCTTTCAATAATTTTTGTTAAGTTATCAATTTTAATTTTAATTTTATTAGTTTATATTTTTTTAAAATAATTAACTATGATATTTAAAAATATTTATTTATAAATTTATTTTAATATATTAAATAATAAATATTAATTATTTTATCAATTATTATATATTTTTAATAATTAAATTACATTATAAATTTAACTATTTCACTGGTGCTAAGAAAATTGACAAAATTAGACTAGATCTCATGGGTCATTAATTAAATGCATTCAACACCATAACAAAAATTAAAATTTAAACCATAACTATCACATTATAATTTTTCATTTCTTACTTGAAATTGTACATGTTAAAGAAAAAAATTGACAAAATTAATGATGCCCCTGCAGCCGTCCAGAGCTAACGATGTCACACCGAAGGAAAATCAACCCATTCTTTGAATTCCGTTGACTAGACTTCGCCAGACAACTCTCACATGTTTAATTTGTTTGAAACAAAATTCTCACATGTTTAATTTAATTTTAAATAGACACGTGAAGCACATATTTGGACTTTCGAAAGAAGAAAGTCTAGACTTTTCTCTGATTCATAGTGGGAACTGTTTGGCTATTAGTCACTTTTCTCGCTCCTCAAGAAAGACGGCCTTCCCTCTCGATTCTATCTATATTCCGCCTGAAATCTAAATGATCTGGATAATAAGATTAGATGTTTGGGTCAAGGACAAAACCCCTCACTTTGCCCTTTAGTTTTTTGGATATAAGGGATTTTACTCGGCAAAAGGTACCTGTTTGCCCCTTAACTTTTTGATTTTGAGGGTTTTTACCCTTCATATTACAATACATGGATTTTTGCCCTTTATATTTTTGAGTTTGAGGAAATGAGACAAAATTTAACGTCGGAGCGTCACGTGTAACACGTGCACCACTGGCCTCCATCAAGTGTGTACATGTCAGCGTCATCTCAGACTTTTTTGACAACTTGGCATGCCAACTTGGAACCACATGAGCGGGAAATCTACCTGCTACCAATTTTATTTGTGAGCCCCACTGCTAACTAAAGGTTTGAAAAAAAAGGTTAAATCCTCGATTTAGTCCCTTAACTTTCATTTTTAAACTAAATTTACACTCGAACTTCAAAATATTGTGACTTGGCACTAAAAATATAATTTAATAAATAAAAATTTCTTTTTTTTTCTTTTTTCTTTCCTTTCCTTTTTTTTTTCTCCTTCTCTTTCCTTTTCTCCTTCCCCTCCCTACTGGGTTCGAAGAACCCAGGGCCTGGGTTCGAGGAACCCGCGCCTGGGTTCCATCGAACCCAGGCTTGCATGCTCTATACTCTCTTATCTCTCTCTCCGCCTCTGATCGATGTAAGTATAAAATCCTCATCTTTGGTTTTCTGTTTGTTTGCCGAGAAAGTAGGTTGGAAAATCAGAGAAATTGCTAACTCTGGGTATTTTAGTGTTTGAAATTTCATATTTGATAGTGATAGTATAGTCATCTAACTCCTTGTCTACTTAAGTCTTATGTCTGTAGTCAAGACATCTGCTTGTTTTGCTGTTTCTGCAGATCTGTTGTTAAACAATGAGAGAGATCCTTCACATTCAGGGTGGACAATGTGGGAACCAGATCGGTGCTAAGTTCTGGGAAGTGGTCTGTGATGAGCACGGTATTGATCCGACAGAACGATACAATGGAAACTCTGATCTGCAACTGGAGCGTGTGAATGTCTATTACAATGAGGCTTCGTGTGGGCGATTTGTCCCATGTGCTGTGCTCATGGATTTGGAACCAGGTACTATGGATAGTGTCAGGACTGGTCCCTACGGGCAGATCCCTACGGTCAGATCTTCAGGCCTGATAACTTCGTGTTTGGTCAATCTGGCGCTGGTAACAATTGGGCTAAGGACCATTACACTGAGGGAGCTGAGCTCATTGATGCTGTTCTTGATGTTGTGAGAAAGGAGGCAGAGAACTGTGATTTGTCCCAAGTGTTGGTGCTGGGTTCCTTCGAACCCAGTAGGGAGGGGAAGGAGAAAAGGAAAGAGAAGGAGAAAAAAAAGAAATTTTTATTTATTAAATTATATTTTTGGTGTCAAGTCACAATATTTTGAAGTTCAAGGGTAAATTTAGTTCAAAAATGAAAGGTAAGGGACTAAATCGAGGATTTAACCCTTTTTTTTCAAACCTTTACTTAGCAGTGGGGCCCACAAATAAAATTGGTAGCTGGTAGATTTCTCGCTCATGTGGTTCTAAGTTGGCATGCCAAGTTGTCAAAAAAGTCTGAGATAGCGCTGACATGCGCATACCTGACGGAGGCCAACGGTGCACGTGCTACACGTGAGCTCCGACGTTAAATTTTGCCTCATTTCTTCAAACTCGAAAATATTGAGGGTAAAAATCCATGTATTGTAATATGGAGAGTAAAAACCCTAAAAATCGAAAAGTTAAGGGGCAAACGGGTACCTTTTACCGATTTTACTCTTATCATACAATTTATGAGTTTTTATTTTTTTAATTTTTAAGTCTAAAATAATAAAATAATATTTAATATCGTATGATCATATGAAAAACATGATCGTTAGTCATCCTATACCCATGCAATGTCAACGCCACCTGAGTGCCACGTTAGTGCCACATGGCACTCATTTTACACGTTGTACTGTTAGTTTAGAAGACAAAAGCTAATGTTTTGCCCTTTCCATCATCGACTTTGGGTTTTTTGCCCCTCAACATACATTGTATAGAATTTTACCCTCTAATTTATTGATTTGAGCCAATAAGACAAAATTTAATGTTTAATGGTCATATGCAATGCATTAGTTTTAGAGTTTTACACAATAATATGTCAGTGCTACAGGAGATCTTTTTAGTTTTTTACACTCTAGCAATGGCAACTTGGACCCACATCTATTTTCAACGTGGGTCTAATGCATTCTCAATATTTTTAATAAAAAAATTGAAATCTAACAAAAAATTAATAATAATTGTTAAATTTAGGTCAATTTCTTGAAAATGAAAAATTGAAATAGCAAATTATGTCAATAATTTTTTTAGGTGGCAATTTGTTTCAATGTGACAAATTTGGGAAGAATCTGCATCTTTTGACTTCTTCTACCTCTTGACATTCTACCTCCATCATTTTCCAAACTTTCCATTTTGAACTTTCTCTCTGAATTAGGCAAATTGATGGAGATTGGTAGCCAAAGGTGAGGATGACTATAGTAGGGGGAGAAAACATAAATTAATTTATTTACTTGAAATTAATAAATTTAAAATAATTTATCGTTTAATAATTAAGTTAATTAAAATTTAATAATTATTTTAAAATAATATAATTTATTTAAATATAATGGGTCTCATTATGTAGTGGGCCCATGGATGAGTGGGGTCCAAATTGACATTACCAGCATGTAAAAATAATCTCATGTGGCATTAATGTGTTGTGTTGTTGTGTGATGAAGCTTTAAGGTCCACATGCTCCATGTGACTATTGAACATAAAATTCTGTCTCATTTGCTCAAATCGATAAGTTAGAGGGCAAAGATTCATACAATGTAAGTTTAGGGGTAAAAACCCTCAAGGTTATTAAGGTGAAGGGCAAAATATGAGGTTTTGTTTTCCAAACTAGCAGCGTTAAGTGTAACATGAGTAACCATGTGGTGTTGATGTGGCACTTAGGTGGCACTGACGTGGCATGGGTAATGGAGGACTAACAGTCATATGCTATAGGTGATCATGTGACATTAAATATTGACTTATTAACCTAAACTCGAAAAATCAAAGGGCAAAAGCTCATAAATTTTAAGATGAGAGGTAAAATCCCCTATATCCAAAAAGTTCAAGGGCAAAGTGAGGGTTTTTGCCCGTGTTTGGTTGGTGTTTGGGCCTTTCTGGGGTGGACTTGGGTTTGTTGTTTTTATTAGGCCGTGGCCATCGAATTTAGGTTAGTCTTTCTTAGCTTGGGTTTGTAATTCCGAAAAAGGTGTTTCGATGGACATAAAATGAACCATCCAATTAAAATAAATACATTTTTTTTATAATTAATTTATATTAAAAAAATTAAATAAATAATTTTAGTTTTACCCATTAATCAATCAATTAATTATGTGCTAATAATTTAAGTAACTTAAAAGTAATAAAATTTTAAATTTAAATCGCATAATATAAAAAGTAAGTGAATTAAAATATAAAAAAATATTGTCTCTCACTATTAACCGAAGATAAAAATAAAATTAATATTTGTATTTCTTTTAGAAATTAAATGTAAGAATATATAGTTGACGCACTCTAATCTATATGCTTGAAATACAAGTTAAACAAATTTATTTATTAGTGCATTATAAGTTTGTATAATAAAAACAAAAATGTTATATTTATAATTTTATAAAATTATACATAATATTATTTACATTTATATATATGTGGAGACAACATCACAAATATTCTTTGTGAGTTTTCAACGGGCATCTTACTTAGTGAGATGATCTCTGCACCTCGTATTCCAACTTTATGATTGGTGAGTAAGAACTTTGAAAAAAAAAAAAAAGAAGATGACATTTACGTCTTATATAACTCATCAGAGTATATGTAAAAGAAAAATTCGTAGGTTTTTTTCTAAATTCAAAAGTAAAATTAAAAGCTTAATTATTCAAGGAATATTGCAAGGAGTATCATACTATAATATACAATTTTTAAAAGAATTTGACTTGCTTGTAAACAAATATTAATCAGATTCGTGTAGATCATTTCCAGTCATGATTATTAGTTGTCCAAAATGTTAACAAGGTATGAAATTATAATATTAGCTTGATGTGTAAATGAAATATGAAAGACCCCGTCCCCGAATGTTCCTCCCAGATAAACTCCTCCCACTCCACCTCTCTTCTTCTCTATAAAGGAGAAAACAGAAAACCTCTGTTTTACTCTGTTTTTGGGTGTCAGTGGCACAGCTGAGCGGAGTGGGAATAAGATATGGTGCGCTATCAGGTGAAGAAAAGTGGGGTTGAGAAGGATGAGGAGGCACAACCCTTACTTTTGGTGTGGGCAACCTTGGGATACTATAGAAGAAAAAGGCCCAGACTTCTTTATATTATGTCTTGCATCTTAATTCTGGCACCTTTCCTCTTCACCTCTTCTTTTCTTTTTTATCGTCTTTGTAAGCTCCATGCTCAAATGCGTTTTGCTTATTTATTTCCTCTGTTATATTTCTGAGAAAAGTGAAAATCTAAATGTCTTGGTAAATACTAGTAGTATTTTAATTATCAGGACATCCTGATTTTTCACTTGTTTTTTTTCTTCTTTTGACACCTCTAATTATATGGTAGTAGATGCAGATTCATTTGGAGCAAAAGATGAAGGCTTTCATTATTTGGATGTAAATGCTCCTCTTTGTTCTTCAGTTTCTGAAGGTAAGTAGACCCTGTTTACTTTAGCGGATAGGAAATAGCTAATGGCTGTGTCAAGTGAAAAAATCTTATATCTATTTCCTAAGAAAAGTCTATGGACTTATATAGTAGCATGATGATGTATGTTAATGTATGGAGTTTTTTCTTTTTTTCTTTTTTTTCTCCCTTTATTTTATTATTATTATCTTTTGTCTATAATCAAACACAGAATAGAGTTTTATGTTGAATGCTTTTCATTTTATTTTTGGTTATCCCAATTCTTTACATGAATTTTGTGGTTCTTTTTTGGGTTAAACCAGGGACAATTTGCTGTGACAGAAGCCATTTTCGGACGGACATATGTATCATGAAGGGTGATATAAGAACACGCTCTGCTTCCTCTTCAATATTCCTCTATACCTCAAAAAAAACCAATGGATTCATCAATAATGCTTCCCACCTTGTTGGAGCTGACATAGAAGAGGAATACAAGGAACTCCAACATGAAAAGATCAAACCATATACCCGGAAATGGGAAACGAGTACAATGGATACCATACATGAATTACACCTTGTATCCAAGAGAAAAAATAAGGGCACCGGTCATCTCCAATGTGATGTGATTCATTATGTTCCGGCTGTGGTATTCTCAACCGGAGGCTATACCGGGAACGTTTACCATGAATTCAATGATGGGATTTTGCCATTGTACATAACATCCCAACATCTCAATAAGAAGGTTGTGTTTGTGATTCTTGATTATCACCATTGGTGGGTAAGGAAGTATAGGGATATCCTTGCGCATCTCTCAGAGTATCCGGTAATCGACTTTGTCGGAGATGGAAGAACACATTGCTTCCCGGAGGCAATTGTTGGCCTAAAGATTCATGATGAGCTCACTGTGGATTCTTCACTAACGAGTGGGAATAAGAGCATTGCGGATTTCAGAAATCTCCTAGACACAGCATTTTCGTCTAGAGTTAGAAACCTTGTGGCTCAAGAAACCAAAGAAAAGGTAAAGAAGAATCAAGGAAGGAAACCAAATTTGGTCATCTTGTCTCGGAATGGTTCTAGAGCAATAACTAACGAGAATTTGTTGGTGGAAGCAGCAAGGAAAGTAGGGTTTCGAGTTAAAGTTCTGAAACCTAAATGTACAACTGAACTTGTCGAGATTTATCATATTCTTAATTCAAGCGATGTTATGGTTGGTGTTCATGGTGCTGCCATGACACATTTTTTGTTCATGAGACCTGGATCTGTGTTGATCCAAGTCATACCCCTTGGAACAGATTGGGCAGCAGAACACTATTTTGAACATCCTGCAATGAAGTTTGGCTTGAAGTATATCAGGCACAAGATCCTTCCTCAAGAGAGCTCTTTGTACTACAGCTATGACAAAGTTGATCCAGTTTTGAAAAATCCAGAGAGTGTGACTAAAAGGGGATGGCAATATACTAAGAAGATTTATCTCCAGAATCAGACTGTGAAATTAGACATTAAAAGATTTCACAAGCACCTTGTTCGTGCTTACGTTTACTCCAAAACCAAAATGAATCAACATTTTCACTCTTGATTTTGCCTCAAGAGTTGTCTCAATTTTAAGTTAGAGATCTCATATTTGAATTTCAAGATGGATGAAGAAGAAGTATTAAGAAGGAAGAACTATGTTTTATTATATATTATAAAAAAGTGTCTCAAACAATTAAGAATTTGAATTCGAATATAAAACAAGTAGAAAAAAGTACAGAAAGAGTTATTTCTTATCATATAACTTATTAGTTGATGTACTAAACAAAATTTCCTAGTGTATTATCATCACTCAAAGTAAAAGAAAAAAAAAATTAATTTCAACTTAAAATTATGGACACCAATAAAGTTTACAGGTGCAATATTGCAATATAAATAAGATTAATTTATTATCCATCAAATTAATTTAAGTGGTTAAAAAGTAATTTGCTTCATGAGAAAATGCAAGATCAAGTCCCTGTAACTGTATTTAGATGCAAATAATTTTAATAGATTTAATTCTAGATGGGGTAATTTACAAATACCCGTATCAAGTTATCCCAAGAATTAATAATTTATATTTTTCTATGTTTTCGACAAATCAATTGGTTCTTTGTTTTTTTAAAAATAAATTTTAATAAGAAAAGGCAAAAAAATTAAAATACCATTCACTTAAAGATAACACTCTTAAAATATAAACTCCAACTACAAAATATGAATGCGTTTGAAATTGTTGTGGATATTGTGGATGTGACTGTGCTAAACTATGCTGTATTGTAATTACAGTTGAAAGTTATTTTAGTGTTTGGTTGTTTATTTTTTAAAAGTATTATGAATGAAATAAGGTAGATTTTATTAATTATTAATTAAAATTTAAAAGATATTATAAGATATATGATTGTTAAAATAAATAATATTTAATATTTTTTAATAATTTAAGTTTTTTGAATTTGTTATAATTATTAAAATATTATAAATTATGAAGTAATTAAATTATACGAAATTAAATTTTAATAAGTAATTTTGTAATTATATTAATATTAGGTATTCACTGTAAAAACTACAATTCGAATGCTTTCAAATGAAAATTTTAGTTTTATATATAAAATTATTATAGATTTATTATGATTTTTTTACAATTTTTATAAAAAAAATTTAAAAAAAATTATCAAATACACATAAATTTAAAAGTAATATATGGTTACATGAAATGAACTCCTAAAAACAATTCCAAATAAACCCATAGTTTTTAAAACAAAAATCAGCTAAGTCTGGGGGTTGAAACTTCAAATGAAAACTTGCCATTAATAATGGTCATCAATCTGGACTGAAAAAATTGGATTCTGTATTCAAATTTCGGCGCTGTAGTTTTCTTGGTCGTTGGTATTCTTTTTTTTTTTTTTTGAAAATAGGTAATGGTTGGTAATTGTATTCGTTTAGGAAGTAAAGCATAATTGGCTTTCAACATCCAATGTACGACTTATTTGAAAGGTATATCATTATCATTCTGTTATCCTCTAAAGCATCATTTAATAATTAGAAATCTGCTGGCGCAATTGACAAATACCAAATTGCAATTAATAAGGATTGAATTAGAATGTTTGACTTCTTGAAAAAATATAAATATACTTATTAGTAGAGTAGTTATTCGGTTAAGTTTATATCTCTAATTTCATATATAAAAACATAGAAAAGGCGGTTGACATCCTTTTCCCAAGCAAATGTTTGAAAGGAACAGAAAACAATTTTTTTGGTATCCTGGTAATGTTATCACAAGAATCATTTAATTTAAAAAACTTTAATTTATAGATACCTATTTATCCACTTATTATAAAGTTCTTTTTTTTTTTTAAATTTTGGTTGCACAATGAAAAGTAACTATTTCTTATTTTTTATTTTATTTCACTTGTATATCCTGCGATTCGAATTCAGGATTTATTACTTTCGGTTAAAAAAAGATAATCACTAAATTATTGATGTCGTTGACTCTATTATAAAGTGAAATATTGAGAAAACTATATAAGAATTTATATTAGAATTGCTGTTTTTTTTTTCTATGTTGTAACTAAAAATATATATGTTACCTCACAAAGGGTTTGAGCTTTGAGATTTATTTATTTATTGGTACATAAGAAAGAGCTTTGAGATTGATTATGATATAAAAACAGGACAAAATTTTCTTTTCAATGTTTAAAATGTTTCTTAATCAATTTATATGTATATGTAGAGTAAATTTCTCTCCAATTAATTTTAAAGGCACTGGTAATATATAATACAGTTTTTAACCTCAAGAATTAAAAGAAAATTTACATAATTTTTTTATTTTAAATTATATATAATTATTTTTAATTTTACATTGCGAACTAGAAACTTATAAGACCAGAGGAAGGCCAAGAAGAAATTAATAACGCATCAGTCCCCAGCATCCTCTCTATTTTTCAGACGTTGTTCTGTCCAACCCCGCCACGTCGCCAACCTTTTTGTTATTTTATTTTTAAAACTTTTTTTTATCATGTATCCTTAGAGAATAGTTGAATATTATATTGTTTTTAATCATTAATTAAGGGAAAATTTTCATTATCAAAAGTATTTATATTTTTATTAATAATTATAAAAAATATAATTTGTATAGGACAAATTATATTTTAATTTTTTGTTTAAAATATCATACAATATTATTCTTGTTGCTTGGGTTACAATTTTCAATTTTAAGGGCAAAAATTTACTTTTAGCCCCTCACTTTAGTA